TCTGTCTCTCTCAAATAAAGGAGTTGACGTATGGATTTAGTGAGAAACAAAATTTAATCCTACAACACCTTCAAAAAACAAATTAAACAACATTTTTTACCATATACAGTCACTAACATATAAGACATTCTATAAATAGAGAATAATACATGGGTGCACGGAAATACCAGATTTATTTCGAGTGTTGAACATGATATTTCACGAGTGAGATATCATGTTCAACACAAGAAATAAATCTGGTATTTCCAAGCATCCATGTATTTTTCTGTTTATTATATCATTATATAAAGACAGTCTTTTTAAAGCGATAATTTCTACAGAAAAGCAATAATTGAAAAGCGATAATTGAAAAACAATAAAACATCCGTGGCAATGCGTTTTACAACAAGTTCTCTGATTGGTCAAACATATTTCCTACGCGCTTTTTGATTGGCTTGCAAAAATATTTTCACACGTAAAAATATCGTATTTTTACGTGTATTTAAATACGATTTTTCTCAGTGGCCAAAAACTCTATATAACACTTATGTTTATATAATAAAGCATACTATTATACTGATACAACATATACTTCGGTAAATTGTAGCTCAAACTTTATAAGCTAGATTGAATTCAAATGCATCGCCAACATTAGTATTCATTTATATAAGAACACTCCCCTTCTTTTTTCTCTCTTATAAACCAGGTGATCTGACGGTGAGCAAAAGGACTGGGACTAGCAACAGAATTGAAATACAGTTTCGTACCTTTAATCACTTGTCACGCCCTGATTCTTTTGTGAAACTGTTTGAAACTTTGTGTCTGTGTCTTGAACAGGGAAATGAATATCTGGGACAAATTTGAGATAGAAATCTAATACCGTTAATGAGATATTGAGTAATTTTAAACCAGAAATGGATTTCTATTTTACAGCTAGTGCCAGGCCTTTTCCCAGTTCCGAGATCACCTGGAATATAGTGTAAACAGCTATTCAGTTAAGGTTGTCCCCGAGCAAAGCGGAAAAGTCCAATACGAGCGCGAAAGGCTTGCTGGGAATCGCTAAAAAATTCATTAATAATTTTTTAGCCATTCCCAGCAAGCCATTCCCCCTCGTATTCGAGTTTTCCGCTTTGCTCGGGGACAACCTCAATTGAAATAGCTGTTTACTTCAAATCATTACTCTGATTTTACATAAATGTAAATAATTATGTAATTCACTACAAATGCCATTAACTGGGGGCCTAAATATCAAGATTTCTAGTACGTCTCTAGCCCGAAATCTTTAAAGATTTTGTAATAAATCATAAATAAATTTATAGTACATGGGGAAAAAAACAAAAATTAAAAAAAATAGACTGATATATTTTGACCGTAAAACACATGGTGCACAGCTGGACTGCTGTCAGGGAACATTATTGAAACTGAAATTAGGTTTATAAATTCACGTACTTCCGGGGATTCCGAGTGTACTTGCATATCAAAATGAAAAAAAAGACTGGTCAAACAAGAGTTGATGAGGGTCATGGCATGCAGTCACGCATTATTGCGGGGGACATTTCAAGCTCTAGATTAACAAACTGAAGGTTCGATAAGTGTTCCAACTATGGTTTAACATCAACAGAATATATGATAGTGTTGGTTCCGCATAATTTAAGAACAGCTAACCAAGATCGCGTGACTGCCCACTCTCATTCACTCTTATCCTCGTTTCATCCGAGTTTAAGATTTGTCCGGTTTCTAGCTTACCTTTTTCACTTGATGGAATGAGTTCTTCCTATATCGCTGTGTGGTAATTATCACTTTCTTTCGATAATCGTTCTGAAAACACGGTAGCAACCACACTATCGTCCTTTGGCTTTGCTTCTTTCTACTAAAACAAAATAAAATAACAAGTTAATTTTCTGGTGTTGGTTGGGGGCAATGTTTGAATAAGAAAGATTCGGATTGAAAGGTATTCAACTACCTGAAAAATACATCGGGAAGTTAGTATACCCCCCCCTAGTGGCTACAAAACGTATAAGTTCTTGGCAACGTCTTGCATTCCTGTCAATACCGGCTGCACAAGACCGTGCGATGTTTGAATTCGTGGGTATATAGTTTCAGAAAGCGATACTGGGCAGTAGGATGCGGAAGAGGTTATTTCGCTGGCCTCAGAGTGACAAAACGTAACAAAGCAATGGTTTTACTAACACTAACCCTGTTCCAAACACCAACTCTAACCCTGATCCTAACCGAAACCCTAACCTAACCCTACTCCAAGTTCGTTTCTAAACCAATCTTGAAGAGAAACGTTTTGACGAAATGTCATTCTGAGGTCATCGAAATAACTTCTTCCATGACTAGTTAACTTCAGAAATGTTGACATGTATATGGGAGCGAGAAAATGAAACTAGCACCTGTATACTGAAAGCTCACTCACACTCAAAGAGTTCAATCTGAGCTTCTCTTGAGTGTCAATGCTGTTTTTGAATAGCTGGAGGGTTAGGCCTGTTTCAAAATTCAAACGTCGCGCTTCTCATGTGCCGAACGCATTAAAACACTGATTAGATAATCAGCTGAAATGCCTCATTATCTATTGTTTCTAAGGCGTTCGGCACATGAGAAGCGCGACGTTTGAAACAGACCTAACGCCCGTATTCTAAAAGCTCACTCACACTCAGTGAGTGGAGGTTCAATCTGAGCTTCCCTTGAGTGTCAATGCTGTTTTTGAATGGCTTGAGGGTGAGTAGTCACCGAGTAAGGTATGACACTAGCCCTCCAGCTATTCAGAAACAGCAATGACACTCGAGAGAAGCTCAGATTGAACCTCCACTCATCGAGTGTGAGTGAGCTTTTAGAATACAGGCGTTAGTGTCATACCTTACTATGTGACTGCTCACCCTCCAGCTATTCAAAAACAGCATTGACACTCAAGGGAAGCTCAGATTGAACTTCCACTCACTGAGTGTGCTTTTAGAATACAGGCTTAGATCTCGCAATTTTATTTAGTCGCCATCTAAATGATCTAATACAAGGCAAATACATAACATGAAAAGAGTAGTTGATCGATGTACGATGTTGAGTGAAGCTCAATTTGTAAGAGTAATAGAAACCTGACGATTCACGTCAGTTACGACGGCAGACCGCAAACGTCAAGTCGCATTTCGACAGCCAAGTCAAAGTGGCAAGTAGCCAGGCATTCATGCCCTCTGAAAAAACGATTTCAAGTTTGCCAATTGCGGTCTGCGGTAAATGTCAATCTCAAGGTCTCTAACTATATACCTTCGTTCCTTCCTTTTGCCGCTTTCTGACCAGCTTGCGTTCTGACCAACACCAGATGATACCAAGAGCAGAGAACGGTACCATAGCACAGTGTGTCTAATACCCAAGTACCATTTCTAACCATATTTAATACATATCCCGCCATGCCTTCTTTTTCCTTTTACTGACAAAATATCTAAAAATATTACTAACAGATTTTTTTGGTCAAATCCTGTTTCGGAATCACAGTCAAAGTCCCCAAAAAGCTCCTAGCGGAAACCAATACTCGAACATTTTTCCTGGAATTTGAGTTGGGTAAGATTATAATGCCAATAAAGATTAGAGGTATAGGATTACAGCCCGACATACGGAAATCACATGTGGTCAAACGAGAGGCATGAGAGTTGTCAGTCAGTCAGTCACAGGATCTTGGTTTGTTTTCACACAGTTGGAACACTCGTCAAACCTCTATTTTGTTCATCTAGAACTTGAAATGGCCCCTGTAACAATTCTGGCAACTTTCATCAACTGTCATTCTAGTTTGACGGGGGCTTCACATCATAAATTGTTAAAAAGTACATATTTGCTAATGAATTCCGTAATTTCCCTAACTAAGTGTCACTTTACAAGAGGCATGTTAATTAGTTTCGATATGGACGATATAGGACTTCCCTTCATGTCCTGCACATCAAGCCAATTCACATTTCACTCTTCTGATAATGTAAGCATAGAATGATATGCAAAGATAAAAAAGCCAAGACTTGGGTGGCAAAGCAGTTGTTTGATTTAACAAATTTATTTGGATCAATCTATATACAAACATGCAAAAAAGTGAATGTTTACATAGTAAAACGTAGGCATTTTTAAGTTAGATCCAAAAATGGCGATGTACGAACGGGACTCTTTAAAAAGTTCCCATGCAAGGCCGTTCAATTATCTTATTATATATACAATTATTTAACAATTATTCGCCGAAGGCGAGGTGATTATCGGTGAATGAAAACCAAGACAAAGTCGAGGTTTTTATTCACGATAATCACTGAGCCTATGAGGTGAATAATTGTTTTAGTATGATTTCATATATAGGTGATTATTTTGAAAAAAATTAAAAATAAGCATTTCTTCGTCATTTAATTGACAAAACGGCTTCGGCCGCCATTTCGAAAATCGCTTAGGTGATCATCGCGTTATAATCACCTCAACGGCAACCAATCAGCGTGGAGAATTTTCAATAATCACCTCTGTATAATTATACTAAATACACATAGCACACATACGCACGCTCACACACAAAACAACAGCGGTGATAAAAACGAGTAATAAAGATAGAGATAAAAACGATAAATAGAATGGATAACATAGATAGTGATAAAACGAGTAATACAGTAGTAGTAAAGTAGTATAAACTGAAGTAATTTGTAACGAGTAATAAACAGGGTGTCAACCCTTTGGTGAAGGTGAAATTCAAGGATTTTTCCCGACTTTCAAGGCCCTTTTTCAGTAAATTCAAGGACCTAGAACTGGGAAAAATCTTTGAAAATCGGGCACGGATTTGCCGTAAATAATTCACTTTATTCAGTAATTTTAATCAAAATCACTAATGTTGGCACAGCTGGAGGTTAGGGAAATTAATTCCAAGACTTTCCAGGACTTCTGCTGATTTCCAAGGACTTTCCAGTCCTGGAATGATTTTTTTCCAATTCAAGGACGTTCCTGGCAGGATTTTCAAGGCCCGTGGACACCCTGAACAAGCCCTACAAGTCCTACTTTGACCTACTGTCTTAATGCAAACCAGATTCGTTGATTGAGATAGGGACACTGTCTTGTAATGGCTGAAAACGAAAAACGAAGTAATAAATGGTTTCCACTGAGCATTATTGTGCAGTTTATGCTGTCCATTTTCAGTGCGAGATATTTTATATCATATAATTTCAGTATTGAAAAATGGCCTTTGAGCATTCTGGTTGCTTCCCTGAGGCAATAGTTGAGCAGACTGCTCGGAGCTTCCGTCAGATTTCAGCCATTTTCTTGGGAAAAGCAATAGTTACCTATTGCTTTTCCAAAAAAAATGGCTGAAAATCTGACGGAAGTAAATTATTTATGCAAATTATATACATAAAATAAACACGTGTAAATAAACAAGGGAAGTTCAGATTGAACCTCCACTCATTGAGTGTGACTGTGAGTGAGCTTTTAGAATATGGGCGAAATTGTTGAATAGATTGTACTGTTTATATCTCTGTTGGCCCAATGGCGCATGCCCCCGAACCCCCCCCCCCCCAACCCCTGGAACTCTGTGTAGTTAATATAACCTTCATGTGTTCCTGCATTAATAAAACAGACAAACATGGAAACGAGGCCATTGAAACAAAAGTGCGATAAAAAGTAAAGTCTATTACCATTCGAACACTTTTAGTAATTTTCATAAATTTTTGTGGAGGGTTCTGCTCGCTCTGATGCAAAAATATTCTGGTGTTAGGCATATGAGACCATGATATACCCAGCGCTGGTTTTGTATAGGAACTGTTCGAGTCTGATACAACGTTGTTTGTGAACTGAAGAGATAAACAAGTAAACGTTGGGTTACTTTTAAAGCATGGGATTTTAGTAGTGATATAAACTCGAACTGTCTCTGTTGAGGATTGAGCAAGGGTGGGTTGACTACAAAATTTTTGTAGTTCGCTATAACTACAGCTACTTCAAAAATACGTAGTCAGCTACAACTACTGCTACTTTTGAACAAAGGTAGTTCGCTACTGATTATAGTCTCTGCTTAAAAAATGTAGCGAACTATTTCGCTATTTCGCTACGCTATATTTTTTAGTTTTACCGTATTTGCAGCATCTACTAACTCAGGCTGTAACGTAACCTTTAACAAATCGATTTACGAGTAGCAACAATAAACACAAAGGAACATTTTTTGTAAGCACTACAGTGTGCAGGAGTGCAAATTGACTATTGAGTATTGATTTTAAGCAAACCGTGTCTATATCATGCCCCAATATAAATTATATCATATTATTCTATCAAGTTGCTACCAATTTTAAAAAGTAGCGAATAGCGATTCGCTGTTTAAAAAGTAGTCAACAACTTAGCTACTTTTAGGCAAAATGTAGTTCCCTATAACTATACAGCTACTGTTTTAAGACTTTTAAAAAAGTAGTCAGAAACTACTGGCTACTTGAAAATTGTAGTTCGCTACAGTAGAGAACTACAACTACTTCGCTACTATCCACCCTTGGGATTGAGATGGATTCAACTGCCTGATAAATACAAGGAAAACGTCGACGTTTCCAGCGAAGCCTTTTCGTCGGTAAAGTTAGTGAAGTTAGTAACTTCCCGACCATGCATGACCGGATTTTGAGGGAAGGTGCGTACCTCCCCTGAGATTGTTTTGCACCTCCCCTTAGAATTTTTACACCTCCCCTGAAAAATCATGCACCTCCCCTTGGGAAAGTTTCAATGATAGATCAAAGTGAAAATTTGACATTTTTTGGGTTGCTTATTATTAAGAGATTTGCCGTGAGGCAGGGGTAGAATGCAATAGGACATTATTGTCCCTTACAAGGCATTAAACACTTGGGGTCTACACTTCGCAAGAAAGTTTTTCTGCGAAATTGAAACAGTGATAGCCATTCATCTCTGTGTCAAGTACCCTTTTAATGCAATGTTTTGAAAGAAACGTTTAAGTAATTGTAATGAAGGGCAAGATTGGATGAGTTTTACAGTCATAATTCATTAAAGTGCCATGACACGAAATGTCACCCGAATGTTTATGATTGCATTGTAAAGATCACTTAAAATGACTTAATAGATTCTTTTATAGAATTTTGGTAACTTGCTTCCTTTGCAAAATATTCAACTTTGTTTCATATGCAAATATCACCGGTGTGACATCACATCACATAATGACATTTTGAAAACGCAATATTTTACCATGATAAAATATTTTTACAAACAAATACAGAGGGTTAATTACCAGTTATGAAATTAATACATATACCAGGGCAATTTTGACAATTTTAAAGTTTTTTAGATACGTATTCGTCAAGAAAACTATACTTTTCTGAAAACTCATTATGCGATGTGATGTCACACCGTGATATTTGCATGTGAAACAAAGGAAGCAAGTTACCAAAATTCTATGAAATATATATATATATATATATATATATATATATATATATACATGCCATTTTATAGACCTACCAGAACAGCCACATTATAATCATAAGCTAAAGATTTCAATGCTCGACCAAGACGGACCATCATTCCATGACCTACAGCAGAATGATCAGGAATCCATACTATGGAATTCTTTCAAAATATAAAGCCTGTTTTCCACTTCAACCGTAACGTAGCATTTTCTTTTGTGTCGAAGTCATTAGGTCCACACCACCGCTCAGGAAACAAAGGAATACGCTACGTTTCGGTACGATTGAAGTAGGAAACTGGCTTACCTTTCACTGGCTTAAGCCCAGGATGAAACGAGGATGAGAGTTGATGAGACTGCAGGTTGGCAGCCGCGTAGCTCAGTTGGAAGAGCATTGGGCTAGTATTCCAAAGGTCGTAGGTTCGATTCCCACCGTGGCCAGGCATATTTTTCGAGCTTGCCCGGTGTGGATATACACTCAGAGTAACATCACAAACATCATATTCACCCGAGTACAAAACACCAGTCACGCATTGTCACAGCAGGGTGTGATAATTCGCGTACTTATGTACCGGAGGTACGCCAATATTACGGTCTGGTATACCGGTACTTCTTTGTTTTCAGGCAAGTACCACGTAGGTACGCGGAACTCTTGCTATCTGCGCACTTAACTTCTGCTGGTATCACATGACATTTCCAAGCCCAAGGTATTCAATACCGTAATTTAGTTGGTATATATCATGTCATGTGTCTGAGATGTCTTGACATGAAACATGATTGGAATGATGGCACAAAGAAATGTTGGAGTCGATTGTTTGTATATGCAATTGTGGTTCTTTTTCTTCCTCGTTATCTGAACGTACGTTTCAGAAACCTGTACTTTATGAACCTTATTTTAATGACCAAGTACACATTGAGAACTGAGTTTGTATTAGTGCAAGTACGCGGTAACAACCATTGGCGTACCAGTCAGGTACGACTAAAAATCTTGAATTATCGCGCCCTGGTTACAGGGGAGATTTCAAGCTCTAGATTAACAAAACAAAGGTTTGGTGAGTGTTCCAACTATTTTTTAACTTCAATAGAATACATGATAGCGTTGGGAAAGCATTAAGAACAGCTAACCAAGCCCAAGGTCGTATGACTGCCAAATCTCATGTTCTCATCCTCGTTTCATCCGGGCAATATACGCGCATGTCAATTTTTTTTAAATCTATGAACACGCACCATGTCCCTGGCTTTTTGGTCCTCCTAATATTGGTGAGACAATGGAAGCGACACTGTCAAAAACCACCAAAACCACATCTTCGTAAAAAGCATCTTCCTTCATGGAAAACAGAAATGGTCCCAGACCCCTGTAGTAATTATTACACCCCTTATCGATGCCCGGATACAATATAACAATATAAAGAATTACGTTTTTTCTGGTACTATAAGATCACGTACAAACCTCTGACGAAAGACACTTTTTGAGTTCCTCCAGAACGAAGAGAGCATGGAATATCTCAAATGTTTTAACACATTGTATTCTCGTCATAGGGTTGACATAGTTCTGTAATAATAACAGGAAATTAACAAGCAAACTAAACTAACTTTATTTATACTGGATAGCTTCTAAACTGTTCTTCCTAGAGGTCCAGTAAGGGTCATCTCTTATTGGTCCAGTGTTACTACAGAAGGAAACCTACGCTAAACTAATTTTATTGATACCGGATAGCTCTATCAGTTCTAAACTGTTCTTCCTAAAGGTCCAGTAACGGTCATCTCTTATTGATCCAGTGTTACTACAGAAAGAAACCTAAACTAAACTAACTTTATTTATACTAGATAGCTCTATCAGTTCTAAACTGTTCTCCCTAGAGGTCCAGTAAGGGTCATCTCTTGTTGATCCAGTGTTACTACAGGAGGAAACCTAAACTAAACTAACTTTATTTATACTAGATAGCTCTATCAGTTCTAAACTGTTCTCCCTAGAGGTCCAGTAAGGTTTATCTCTTATTGATCCAGTGTTACTACAGGAGGAAACCTAAACTAAACAAGCCATTAGACTAACAGTATGACTGACCATTGTGCTGTTGTCTACACATTTCTCCGTCAGAACTTCATGGATACGTTTACTGCTAAATCCTGCACCAGTATCAATGTAAACAACATTCTTGAAGAGAGTACCAGCAACATGACATGCAACGCTAAGACAGCTCTAGAAAACAACATACTTGTGGTTATAGTGGTCCACTGGTCCTGACTAATAAGCACTGGAAAAAAAAATTGAAAATCCATAGAATGTATGGACCTTTATTGGAAATAGAATGGATTTTTAATTATCCATAATAATTGGATATTTCCATAGTATGGATATAGTATCGAAATACTATGGATATACTATGGATTTAGTGGTGCAATCATAGTATGGATTGCACATTTTTTCCCAGTGTAGGTGGGGGCTGCAGAGGAGATAAGGTTGAAGTTGGAGTACATGCAAGGGTGCATGAACATTTACCTGTGTTTTACCCACACCTGGTGAACCAAAGATCTCATTCACTTCTCCAGAATATAAACCACCACCAAGGATGTCATCTAAACTGATTGAGAAGAAATGATTTAAGACATTTATGTCAAATAATAGGCTTTCTAAATTGGTTAAGATGCCTGGCAATAGAGAGAGTAACACAATTAACTATTAATGTATATATACAATATAATTATTGGTGAGAAAAATAGATTTATACATCTTCTAATAATGCAGGACAATGACACACATTGCCATTTAATAAATTAACAGAGACATGAGTAGATAGTTTGGTTAACCATTAACATCCAAGATTCTTTGGCAAGTAAAATATCCTGTCGCTAGACATATAATGTAAAACATAAATATTCTATTTGTAGCTAATCTTACAGTTTTGCTCAAAATCCAGCGCAACACAGACTATCATATTATACTCACTTTGAACAACCTAAAAGAGATGAAAACAACAAAATACAATGAATAGTTTGTTTCCACTGTTCAGGAAGAAATCCCGTAGAACATATGATGTGGTCATACACTGCCACTCCATCATTCATCACCCGGCCTCTCACAAAAATAAAAATAACATCGATCAATTAATCGATTTAGTCACACTGTGCCCTAATGCACAGTACTTTATCATTTTACTCTGTCTAACACCAGACAAGTAAATCAGACTTCCTGTCGATGTGTCCAGTTAATCAGTTACATCTAATGGGTCGTTCCAGAAAAGATCCACACTCCCCCCATGGAGGAAATTTCTGCCGTCCGGAGGGGGAGTGGAGAAACAATTGTTTCTGATAATAGTAAATGTATTAGGACATCCGAAGGGGGTTGGGGGGTTAACTTCCTATTTCCTCCGTGGGGGTGGTATGGATGTTTTCTGGAATGACCCAATGCACTCTACTTTATCATTTTACTCTGTCTAATGCCAGATGATTTTACCCATCAGGGGAAAGTGCTGCCACTCAATGGGTTAAACAATTATAGACATGCAGAAAAAGTACCACATTTTAACAGCCCTCCCCCTTAGTATTGTGTGCATACCAGCAAATAATGACCTCATATGATATATGTCTAACCTGTAGTTATCACTTTTAAGGATGAAAGCAACTTCTCATACAAAACATCAGCTGTAACAACATTTGCCAAAAACTCCATAACTAAACATTCTAAAAAGTAATCCAGTCAACAGTCAGCCATATGAACCCAGGTGCTTTGATTTGCTCAAGGGTGGGTAGTAGCAAAGTAGTTGTAGTTCGCTACTGTAGCGAACTACAATTTTCAAATAGCCAGTAATTTTTGACTACTTTTTTGAAACAGTAGCTGTAGTTATAGCGAACTACATTTTGCCTAAAAGTAGCGAAGTAGTTGACTACTTTTCAAACAGCGAATCGCTATTCGCTACTTTTTAAAATTGTTAGCAACTTGATAAAATAGCATGATATTGAGACACGGTTTGCTTAAAATCAATACTCAATAGTTAATTTGCACTCCTGAACACTGTAGTGCTTACAAAATTGTTAATTTGTGTTTACTTTTGCCACTCATAAGTAGACTTGTTATATATAGGTTACATTACAGCCTGAGTTAGTAGATGCTCCAAATACAGTAAAACTATATATAGAATAGCGAAACAGCAAAATAGTTTGATACATTTTTTAAGCAATAGCTGTAGTCAGTAGCGAACTATCTTTGTTCAAAAGTAGCAGTAGTTGTAGCGGACTACATATTTTTGAAGTAGCTGTAGTTATAGCGAACTACAAAAATTTTGTAGTCAACCCACCCTTGGATTTGCTACACTGTTGTTGATCATGTCATGTCGTGTCATGTGACGAAAATATATTGCTAGCCCATGTCTCAATATATTTCATCTAAAATATATTGCGTCTAAAATATATTGCGTCTAAACTATATTTCTAGCCCACAGTATAAAGTCACTACATGCAGGGCCGTAGACACCGGGGGGAGGGGGGGGACGGGCTTCAGCCCCCAAATTATTTGTAAACTAGCGATAATTTGTAAAGTTTGAGGGGAAAATAATGAGCTGATAATCGCCCCTGACTAATTGTCCCCCTCCCCCCAATAAAAAATTGCTTCCTACAGTAGTGTACATGGTCCTCACACGACAGCATAGCATACCCAAAGCGATTGGGTACAAAACTAGTCAACAGTAACTAAACTATATGTGCGACTATATTTACCACAAGATATATATGGTACATATTTTGGCATTTAAATTTTCCCGCCATTTACCCCCATTGGTCAATTTGTTATGTGATATAAATACACTCGTTAATAATTACATTTTACAGAGCAAACATTCAAAATACAAATAAAAAAACACAATTTATGCAAACTACTATCAATATACTCACGTTTAAATTTCAAAAACGCTTCAAATCTACGAAAATATTTGGTATAATATTCAAAATAAATCAGAAATGTGAAATGCAAAAATTCTGGCCGTGAAGTTCTTGAACTTCCGAAGCTTGGATACGACTCTTGGATTTGCGCATGCTCTAGGCTACGCATGCTCATATTTCGTTCACTTCCAAACAAATAAAACAAAAATTTTTTTTGAAACGTTTGAGTTGAATAAAGCCAATTTTTGGCCGAATTATCCACTCTAAGAGACAAATAATAACGCAGAGCAATACCTGGGAACATTAATTAGTGATCTCTGTAATTTCTGTCGGAGTTTTCTGTCGGAAAGAAACGATTTGAAACCCTTCAACAAGACATCAATTTAAGCGAGTTTCTTCGAGTTTCAAAATGTCGTATGTACTTCAGCATTTACACAATGGATGGCAAGTGGATCAAGCGATCTTAGTGGAGGAGGATAAAGCCGTTGTTATACGTTTTGGCCACGATTGGGATCCACAGTGTATGAAAATGGACGAAATTCTATATGGAATTGCAGATAAAGTTAAAAACTTCGCAGTATTTTACGTGGTTGACATCAGTGAAGTGCCAGACTTCAATAAAATGTACGAATTGTATGATCCCTGTACGGTTATGTTCTTCTACAGGAATAAACACATCATGATTGACTTGGGGACTGGAAATAACAATAAGATTAACTGGGCTTTGGAAGATAAGCAAGAAATGATAGATATTGTGGAGACGGTCTATCGAGGGGCGAGGAAAGGCCGTGGGTTGGTCATTTCACCTAAAGACTACTCCACCAAGTATCGGTATTAGGGAATCTGAGGATTATTTTGGCCAATCGATTGATAATATCGGGGTATCAGGGCTATTGGTTACGGACAGATAATTGTTACATTTGGGCGATTAAATTATTCTAGTTGCTAGTTTGCTACATTGTACACTGCTGCTATTGCCTTGCATGTATTTGTTGTAAATCGTAGAAAAGCTTTAATAAAATACTATCTTTATTTTGCAGATATTGACTGCATTATTCTTCTAGAGAAAATAGCATTAAATACCATCACTATACCAAAACATGGTATCCACAGTTTTCATGGTATAGAGCTATATATCCAGTATAAATAAAGTTAGTTTATGTTTCCTCCTGTAGTAACACTGGATCAATAAGAGATGATCCTTACTGGACCTCTGGAGAGAACAGTTTAGAACTGATAGAGCTATCCAGTATAAATAAAGTTAGTTTAGTTTATGTTTCCTCCTATAGTAACACTGGATCAATAAGAGATGATCCTTACTGCACCTCTAGGGAGAACAGTTTTGAACTGATAGAGCTATCCACTATAAATAAAGTTAGTTTAAGCAGAGAAGGAAACTTTTCAATTCATTTCATATTTGAAACACGCACACAGTAAATCAATTTCTGACATTTAAATCTATCACTTCTAATATGCTTCTATATTACAGTTTTCCAAAATTTAGGCACATTTAATAACTTTCCTAAGAAATTTGATAGAATTTAATAATATATACCTTTTTACACTATCTCAACACATGTGGTGCATGGAACGGTCAGCTATCTGTCACGTTTTTACAATTTTTGGTTTGCGCGTGATGTCATGGCCGCTATTTTTGTGGAACTTTAACTATTGTACACACGTAAAAACGCACAAGTTGTAAAAACAAGTTGTCACGAATCTGTTCGCAAGCTGTCAACAAGTTGTGTTCGCACTGCTTGTTGCCAGTTGTTGTAACAAGTTTGGAACAAGCTGTTAACAACTGCTTGTGACAAGTTTGATGGCATTATCAGACTTGCTACAAGGTTATTCTAACAAGTCTGATACAGTCATGATATAACAAGAATGTTACAAGGTTGACGACACAAGGTTGTAACAATATTGTTATATCATGACTGTATCGGACTTGTCGGAACAATCCTGTAACAGGTCTGATAATATCAACAAGGTTGTTACAAGTTGTTAACAGCTTGTTCCAAATTCGTTGACAACTTGGGACAAGCAGTGCGAACACAACTTGTTGACAGACTTGTTGACTATGTGAGATTTTTGCGTGTGTATTCGGAGCATGTTTTTCTCCAACATGGCTGCCATGCAAAGGTCTTATATATCTCCAGGGATTGATCGCAACCCACCAATAGGTATCCTGCTACACATTGTGCTCAACTTCAAATGTATAGCTGTTCATGGTAGCACAGTTTATAGACTAAGAAATAAACTGTGATGGTAGCAAGCGAATGAAGCTAAATATTTCTAATACACACGCAAAAATCTCACATCTTGTAGCACGTCTGTCAACGAGCCGTCGACAAGTTGTGTTCGCACTGCTTGTTCCAAGTTGTCAACAAGTTTGTAACAAGCTGTTAACAATTTGTAACAACCTTGTTGATATTATCAGACTTGTTGCAAGGTTGTTCCAACAAGTTCGATACAGTCATGATATAACAATATTGTGACAACCTTGTGTCATCACGTCAACCTTGTAATATTCTTGTTATATCATGACTGTATCAGACTTGTTAGAACAACCTTGTAACAAGTCTGATAATGCCACCAAGCTTATTACAAGTTGTTACAGTAATAACTTGTTCCAAACTTGCTACAACAACTTGGAACAAGCAGTGCGAACACAACTTGTCGACAGCTTGCGAACAAATTTGTAACAACTTGTTTGCAGACATGTAACAACTTGTGCGTTTTATACACGTAAAAACAGACAAGTTGTAACAAACCTGCAGCAAACTTGTAGCAATGCTGTTCCAACAACTTGTCAACAGGATGTGTTCGCACTGCTTGTTCCCAGCTTGTTGACAAGTTGTCAACGGCTTGGTTGACAACAACTTGATACAAGGTTGTTGAGCTCAACAGATTTGTTACAAGTTGTTCGAACAACTTGTTATCGTCCTGCAATTCAACAAGTGAGTGACAACCTTGTAGCAACTTGATAAAATAACAGCATTGTTACAACTTGCTACAAGGTTGTTGAGCTCAACAGACTTGTTACAAGTTGTTCCAACAACTTGTTATCGTCCTGCAATTCACCAATTTGTCAACAAGTTGTGAGTGACAACCCTGTAGCAACTTCATAAAATAACAGCATTGTTACAACTTGTTGCCAAGCTTGCTACAAGCCTGTTGCGAACATATGTTGTTGATAAGTTGTGAGATTTTTATGTGTGCGATTTTTACTGAAGTTCGTTTAAGAGTTAACCATTATGTTGTCCCACATTCGTGTGTTTCACTAAGCACTATCGTGCTGCAGATGGTGGTCAACCTGCAGTTTTCAGAGTGAGAAAATAATGTTCATGCTTTTCACAAATCTGTTCACAAGCTGTCGACAACTTGTGTTCGCACTGCTTGTTCCTAGTTGTTGTAACAAGTTTGGAACAAGCTGTTAACAACTTGTAACAAGCTTGATGGCATCATCAGACTTGTTACAGGGTTGTTCTAACAAGTCTGATACAGTCATGATACAACAAGAATGTTACAAGGTTGATGACACAAGGTTGTAACAATATTGTTATATCATGACTCCATCGGACTTGTTGGAACAACCTTGCAACAAGTCTGATAATACCAACAAGGTTGTTACAAGTTGTTAACAGCTTGTTCCAAACTTGTTGCCAATTTTGGACAAGCAGTGCGAACACAACTTGTTGACGAGTTGCTGGCAGACTTGCTACAAGATGTGTGTAGTGTGTTGTATTCAATGGCGGATAAATAAAATGGTGAGATGTTGTTTGCTTGTACAGGTGTTATTAACTCGTCTGACCTTGACCACCAAGTATTGCCTCGTATTGCTTACTGAAACACTCATAAATTTACGTTGTTTCTTTCTATGCAAGTGTGCTAATAAGGTGGAGTTACACGAGCAACAAAATTGCTGCAACTTGCAACAAAATCTGATTTCTACGCATGTTAATTGAAAATGTTTACACATAAATGTACAAATCACAAGGCAACATGCGATGACATTTCTACTTAACATGCGTTGAAATCAGATTTTGTTGCAACTTGCAGCAATTTTGTTGCTCGTGTAACTCCACCTTTACTCCTGAATTTTTCTACTGATTGGACAACGCGAGCCATTCCGTTATGCAACTTATGCAGATTTTCAATTTGCGCAAGATATCATTTTGCCCGTTTCACGAACTATCCCGTAACGTGCCACGAGACACTTATTCGTGTTCGCGCGTTTCTTTATTCCATTCCATTTTCTTACGAGTGTACCGCTCACATGCAGGCTATGTACCTGTCTGTTCCTGTTCCACTGATCTCATTATAATACTGGTTAGTAAAAGCAAGTTAAGCAGTTCAGATGGTGGTTGTGTATGAATGAGGTGTTACGCTGTTTCGTCTTTGCTCGACTGCGTTGACAGTCGCCCTCCAATAATTTTCGCTCCTGTTCGCATCATCTCCAACGCGTGGTTGTAACTTCGGTTTAATTCTTTCAACCATTCATTGTATTCTGTTTGAGACTGCGAGAAAAAAAATATGCAGTTGCTGGCCAGGAAATTCTTCTTTTCAAGCTCACGAACGAAACAACAAAGGAAATGGGCAAATGCACGCAAATACCATTTGTATGATGTCGAAAACATGTCACAACAGCGAGTAACTTGAAAGGTGTTCTCGCACTTCACTTGGTCGAACTAGAATGCTGGGTTTGGTGGATAATCCAAGTGAGTATATGCTATTTCAATCAAGGTTGTCCACGAGCAAAGCGAAAAAGCCGAATACGAGCGCGAAAGGCTGCTGGGAATCGCTTTGAAAATTCATTAATTTGTTAACATGCAAAAAACAGAGGTCTGATATTTCACAGTACAGACCGAACAAGCGAGGTCAATAATCGGTTTATTATATGGCTGAACTGAGTCTGTGAGCATATGCTTTTCGCGCGAATTAAATCAGCTATCGTCAGTTTCACTGGGTAACAATATACGATAGGCATGCATGCTTAATCAAAAACAATTTGGTTGTTTGAAATTTTTATCTGTAAAGCACAATTGGAAATTTAAAAGGCAAAAAAATTTTCTGTTTGCAAAGCAAAAATTTCCCGCCAGATAAACGACATCCGGGACACCGGTCCAGATACGGAAAATACGGACCACGGTCCGGATATGGGTTTTTACGGACCGCTTGTCAACCAATCAGAATAGAGAATTTTGAAAAGCCATATAATAATTAATGTTATTGTTACTACCTACGCTGGCAAAGACGGTTCGAGTTTATATCACAAAAAAAAAGAAACATACCTCAGCTCGTAATAAATGTTCTTTAGTATCAGTAGTTACAATTCTTACACATTTGAATCCTTTAACGTTTGTTTCGTCCAGCGAAGTCACGTCTTCCCAACACAACAAGTTCGTTGCATTTTGCTACAAAATACATTTTAGGAACTCTTTAGGTGGGGCAGATAGGCACTGTATTACATGTTGAAAACCTTAGTATGATGAAACCATTAAATTCGACGCGGTGACAACGCGGGCTAAAACCTACCTGTTCTCCACGCCACTCTATCCTGTTGGGATAAAGTAAGAAATATTTTTTTTGCCAGCCAGGTAGAAAAGGTCCGCCCATCCTGTACAGATAACCTTCCAGTATACGGTCACTGCCTTCAGCGCTTTCTGCGGGAAAGAACATGGAACTCACTAAAGACTGGTTTATACCATTAACGTTTCTGTGATCACAGTGGGAATTTTGCATCGGTAAATTCTAAATTTTGAAGGATTTGTAAGAAATGTTTGAGGGAACTAACAAAGTGTTTAATTAAAGTGCGACTTAACCACTAATATGATTTTTGGTATGTGTAATATTTGGGTCATTTGAAGAAGAAATGTAATACATCTTGATAATAAAAAATCCCATCTTGGTGAACTTTTTCACTGTCAAAGTTTCCGGATATGATGTCATTAGGTGAATTTTTGGAGCAACGAACAAAAGAAAACTAATTTGCAATTCACCAAATAACATCATATCCGGAAACTTTGGCAGTGAAAAAGTTGATCAAGATGAGGTTATTTACTATAAAGATACATTTAATACATTTCTTCTCAGAATGACCCAAATATTACACATACCAAAAATTATATTTGGGGTTAGTCGCACTTTAACACTGAATCAATTCCCTCAAAAATTTCTTGCAAATCCTTCAAAACTTAGAATTTACCCAAGCAAAGTTCCTACTGTGATCACAGAAACTTTGATGGTGTAAGCCAGCCTTAATGCATGTAAAAATCATTGCGTGTTTTAGTGTTTATGTGAAGGACGAGCCAGACCGTGGGGTCTCAGTCGAGTGAGTTAAAATTTACCATATGAACTTTTGAACCATATGGAATTGTGACTGAATTACAAATGGACCTTGTGTGAAAAGTGAAGATAACTCACCATGACCATTAATATTTGCCAGTTTACTTTTTCGTTTCTGGTCTAATTTATCATTTTCTTGGTTCACAACTTCGAATACGGTTTCTGAAATAAGAAGTATTCCAATCAAAACTACAAACTTTATTTCTACTGGATAGTACCTGCTTTATCATTCCTACATTGTCCTCCTTAAGAATGCGACTGGCACGAAAACCATACCACTGCATATTGCAGGAATGGGGCCCCGACGATAGACAGTGGCCGATACTTCGCGACATATTGGGGGGAGGCGGGGAGAGGGGAAGGGGAGGGAGATTGCCAACATATTAGCACGTTTTGTATCTGGAAATCGTAGTTCTTTAAACTACGATTTTTGCCTTAAATTTCATGCCAATGATTTCATGGTTGAAAAACTATTGTTACAGCTTTGTTACCCATTTGTTCAGTTATCATTCAAAAGCTTTTAGATTTCATTGAGAGAGGGGAGGCACTCTCCCTTTGTCACCAAGAGTGTCCACCACTGGTGAAAGGTACGAATCATTTTGTTACAAACAGTTTGATATATTTATACCTGCAATTTCTTGCTGCCATCTCTCAGAGTTCACGTGATTAAAAGCTGTGTAGATTTCCTGGTCACTATCAGAGAGCTTGATCCCTTTGACGTCATCCTCGTCAAACGAGCCGATGTCAAACGCGTCAGCGGCGTTAACCTCACCCCTGGGAGGCACTAACGGAGGTTTTAACTGAAATGATAAATGTTAGTGAAATTAGTTTCTGATAATTGTACGTATATCACCATGAAACTCAACTACTTTCTGATGTCTGTTCAAGCATAGCCTATCAGCCTATCACCTAAGATGGCTGTGAAATTCATTAGAATAACAATATAACTCAGTATCCATGTTAGTCAACGTTATTCATAAATCCGGTTCTTCATCGTCACGTGTGTATTGTATTTTTGCCCAACTAACAAATAGCAATGTTTTAGGAAAGTTGCCTATCCGTGACTCGGACAATAGGGGAAATTGGAAACTGCTATTGGTGGATTTGGCAAAAATACAATACACACGTGACGGTGAAGGATCACATTTATGAATAAATGTTGACTAACATAGATAATGATACTGTTATTCTAATGAGTTTCACAGTCATCTTCCCTTCGATAGGCCATGGTTCAGGTTACCTTGAGTAACTCGACTGTCAGCCAATCAGTGTTTTTAAAAAAATCATGATCCTTCACTTCATCCGCTCTAAAAGAAACAAGATTTCATAATAAAAATTTCAATCAAGCAAGGGCCGGATTAAATAACAAGATTCTGTTAGCATCTCACTCGATTCAATAATAGTTGGAGGATTTTGTAGATGGAAATAACGCAAAACTCTCCAACTATGGCTGGATTAATACTAGAGACGGATGATGTCTGGATGAACTTGGGCAAAGAAAAGATAGTTGGTCTGATAATTCGTCTATAAACATGGGAAACAGATGTATGAAGAAGACAAAAGCGAACTTAAGCGAGGCTTTATCTAGTACGCGAACGTGACAAAAAACAGTTTTGAATTTTACACTTTTAAATTTATAAACAATTACTGCTATAAAGAGCGTCAACAGGCCGGGCGAAAGTGGAACGAGGACGGCTAATAATATCATGATTTTTTTGTGTATTGGTGTTATGTACTCAGGTGAATATGATGTTTGTGATGTTACTCTGAGTGTGTATCCACACGGGGCAAGCTTGAAAAATATGCCTGGCCACGGTGGGAATCGAACCTACGACATGACGTCACTACGTGTAATTAGGCGCTATCTTGGTTGATTTTAAAGTTTTGTCCAGCCGTTTACATCGAAATAGTTATTATGGATAGTTTACGATTTCTGGCACAATACGACAAAGAATGAAGAATATAGATTTTTAGTTGCCACGAAAATCAACCAAGATGGCGTCGATTGCAAACGAGCAATGCAAGAAAATGAGCAGAAATGAACATTTAAAATCCCACTACAGAAGTTTTAGACGTTGCCGTCGCTGTTTTTACAACGGCACAATACAGATTATCACGTCTTGTATACAACGCTCACATTTCAAGCTGGGACAAGTGCTACTTTCAATTGGGTCCTAGAACTTTTCTCAATCATTAACCCTGTGTTAACCTCAAACTGTATTATTTTTCATACGATGGATGATAGACGACAGCTCTTCTTCTGCAACATTTGGTTCATTTGTTCGGCGCCGCGTTCCCGCCCTCGCTAAACGATGGACGGGATGGATCGTCCCCATGAATGCAGAAATACGTACCCTCTGGCCTTGCAGCCAAGACGCCTGTAAACATCTCTCTGAAGAAGACCACGCAGTAAACTTTTCATGTCACTTGAGAAATGATCAGGATATTCCACATCCTGTCAAGAATGAGAAAATGAAAAACAAACAACTGTTAAAAGGTTTTATAGATGGAAATTTCAAATGTAAAAGATAAAGAGTTTAAGTTTCGCGTTATGGATAGATAGATAGATAGATAGATAGATAGATAGATAGATAGATAGATAGATAGATAGATAGAAACTTTTATTTAAACACGCTAACCATTGTCAACCTAGGCTGATTTCCACAAGGGGCGTGTAAAATAATAAAATTACAAAGATATAGTATATAGTAAGATATTACATACAGTAAGATATATATATATATATATATATATATATATATATATATATATATATATATATATATATATATATATATATATATATATATATATATATATATATATATATATATATATATATATATATATACATAATTATATAAGTATAACAATAATAATGCTATTCAAAAATGTGAGTAGCGATTTTAGTTTCAAAGGACATGATGGAGTTGCTCTCTCTAATTTCGGTTGGTAAAGAATTCCAAATGTGTGCCCCGTCAAACATGAAACTTTTTTTCAAGCTATTTGTACGCGGCTGTGGTAAGCAAAGAGTACTTTCCACATCTCGAAGTTTATAATTTGTCATTTCACTTTTGAAAGTAAATAAATCAGTAAGTGATTTAGGACCCATTTTATTCAACAATTTAAACATCAGTTTTGACTTAGCCTTTATTCTTTCCGTTTTAAGTGGCTTCCAGTCTAAAGCATCTAAAGCAACCAGATGATCTACATCATTGCTCATATTCATTATGATTCGAGCAGCTCTGTTTTGGAGCTTTTGGAGGCGTTTTGATTGTGTTTCACCAAACACATCCCATACTTCACAGCAATATGTAAAGTATGGGCGGACAATAGAATTATACACAGAGACAAGTGTATCTTTCTCAACAAATTCTTTTATTTGACGAAGAGCTGATATCCCGGATGTTATTTTCTTGCAAATTGTTTCAGTATTATTCTTCCAAGACAAATGCTGGTCAACAGTCACTCCAAGAGTTTTGCAATCATATACTTGTTTAATTGGTTTGTTTTCTATGATAATGTTTGGTTGTTTATTTGAGATACTTTTTATCATTGGTTTATACGTCGAACGCCAGGCAAAGAAATTTTTTACGGTATCAGGCAATAAAGAGCAAATGAACTTGCTGTTTTAAAACTGAAATACATAATTATTCTTTCGACGCAAGAAAGAAAATATGAAACGAAAACGTTTAACGAAAATTTTGCCAAGAAAGTTCGAACCTGTTGTTTGCCGTTCCCGGAAACGTAAACATTAGACACCTTATGATTGACGTTCACAGCAAACGTCAAACCGCTAGCGAAGTTTTTTATTTTAGGCCTACAACTCTATTATATAATAGCTTTTACACCAGTTTTGAAATATGTTAAGCAATTATTAAACTTCTGCTCTTTAGCAATGATTCAAGAAAGCAAATTAACCACTAGTCATGTATTCACCAAAGCAGTAAATTAAGATTTGTCGTTTGAAGTTGACGTTTGGCGTATAAATTTCATGCTTGAACTGCTACCAGGGCTTGTCGTCGTTAAAGCATGAAATTTATACGCCAAACGTAAACTTCAAACGCTAAATCTTAATTTACTGGTGGAATCTGGTGGAAAAACTATTATAATAAAGTTGTAAAATCAAAAACTTCGCTAGCGGTTTGACGTTTGCCGTAAACGTCAATCTTAAGGTGTCTATTAAACTCCCTATTATATTCTTCGGAAAGTACGGCACCATGTTATAAAGCCTCGTTTTCACGATTGAGACGTTGGTCTTTGGCTAATGTCACATACATGAAAACGAGGCTCTATAGCCAAAGTGAAATGCTTTCCAGAAGGGTGTATTAATCGAGCAAGTAACTAGAATTACCATCGTCAAAGTTAATCTGTCTATTTCATGTTTATCTTTGATCTTGTGTTGTCGAAAGGGACTATGCCTATTAATTGAGACATGGAACATTAATGATCACTAAAATCAATACTAAAAAAGTAAAAATAATGCACGAATATATGAATAATACAGGAATATATACCTACCCTACTAGTAGTTTATACAACATACAACCCAATGAAAACCAGTCAGCGGACGAGTCGTATGCCACGCCCTTTTTTAAAACTTCTGGCGCCATGTAACCGTGAGTCCCGCTGAAAACAAAACAAAATAGAAGTGTAAATGCCACTAAGTTATAATATTTACACTGGACAGCTCTGTCAGGTTTACAGTCAAACCGGATGTTCTCTTGCGGGCAACATAGGCAGAAATTGGAACGCGAACAAATTGGAAGTTAAAATTCACAAAAGATTGGACTATCAGCAAAAAGGAAGCCAATCTGATTGGACTATTAGCAAAAACGAAGCCAATCAAATAGTCTGAGCACCTGGATTGAATCTTCCCTTCTTCTTATAGTCCAACCAGAGGCTTTGAATCGTTTGTGAATTTCGCGTCGCTTGCAAATTGCTCAGAGCAATCTGCCTATAAAATTGCAATATTGTGGGACAATATAGCAATGTTGCTCGCAAGAGAACATCCGGTTTGACTGAAACTGCTCTCTAGAGCTCCAGTAACGATCATCTCTTGTTGGTCCACTACAGGTGAAAACCTAGAGATCCATCAAGTGCATCTGTCTTTCACTTCCGCGGCCGAAGTTTGATTCCTGCAATATACAGTTGTCTGATTATAATTTTCACCTCAGTTACATATGAGAAAGGTGCTTCCAGTTTGACTCTACCAAATACACCAGGTTTACTCCAGGGGCCGGTTGTTCAAAGCTGGATTAGCGCTAACCCTGGGTTAAACTTTAACCTGCTGTTTTAGTTTATGTATTTCTGCACGTCTGTTTATTTCAAAACTTACCCAATGAAAGTCTATCATGGTTTAAGGATTACTTCTGCGCAAGGAAGCAGTTTGTAACTATTGATTCGCATAGATCTGAAGAGCTGGATATCGCTTGTGGGGTCCCGCAAGGGTCAATTCTTGGCCCGTTATTATTTATCATTTACATCAATGATTTATCATCTTGTATGCGAAGCTGCTCAGTCAGTATGTATGCAGACGATGCAGCAATATACTTTGCGGCCTCGACGGTTGATGTGGTGAATGATAACATCAATGAAGATTTAAATTGCTTATCTGAGTGGTTGAAAGATAATTACCTGGTGCTGAATATCAACAAAACCAAGTGTATTTTGTTCTGCTCACAGAGGCACGGTGAACGAAACAGAGCTCTTACCGTGAACTTCTTCGGGTCATGTATCGAAAGTGTTATCACTTTTAAGTACTTAGGTGTAGTATTCGATAGTCATATGACGTGGAAAGATCAAGCGGATCATGTATACAAAAAGGTTGCAGTACGAGTTAATGTCTTACGGCGTATTAGAACATTTCTAACGGAGAAAGCAGCGATACATGTTTACAACGGTATTATCCTGCCTGTGTTCGATTACTGTGACATTACCTGGAGTAGCCTTCTGCAACAAGACGAGGACAGATTACAGCGATTGCAACATCGCACCGCAAGAATTATAACACTGAGTGAAAGATCATCCGAAGCGATGGAAAAATTAAAATGGTCTTCATTGAACTGTAGACGCTCTTACTATAAAGCTATATTAGTTTACAAATGTCTACATTCTTTAGTCCCGAATTATTTTTTAAATTATTTTAAGAAATTTAGTAATGTACATAGCTACAATACTAGACACAAAAATAGGCTAATACTTCCCAAAGTTAAATATAATTTTGGAAAAAATACTTTTATCTTCAGTGTAGCCTGCGAACAGGCTCTCAAGCTGAATTGAGAGCCTGCATCGATGACTAATGAATTTGAATATCTGCGTCTCAAATCGTGACGCGAAATTCTCATTGGTCAGATGCTATAATTTATATTATTCCGCTGAGCTCTATATATGTCAACTGCTAAGCACTATGCATAAAAAACACATTAACTGATCAAATTGGTCTTGGCCATCTTATCTCAAAGCACGAAATGTTCTGTTTTGAGAAAACAGTATTTAAAACATTTAAACTTTTGCTTCAATATCTTATATTTCGAAAAACAGTATAAACTGTACGGTCTAAATTTAGTTTGAATGGTCTAAATTTAGTTTGCACGAAAGTTGTAAACAACACCATATAAGGATAGACATTCCATATTTGGAAAAACGAACGTTACGGGGCAGATATTCAAATTCATTAGTCATCGATGCAGGCTCTCAATTCAGCTTGAGAGCCTGTTCGCAGGCTATCTTCAGTGGGGTGCAGGTTTATAATATGCTCCCTGATCACGTGATGAAGGCTGAGTCCATTCACACTTTCGCACGTCTCGTACGAATTGTGTGTAATGAGCTTTCTTATTGATGTGGAACATGGAAGTGACGGGACTGATTACGACAATATTTTGTACTTTTATTTATCATACCTTAAAATGTAATTCCTATAAATAGCTTATATCTAGACACAGGGCTCCTATGGATACCAGCCTTCGTGCTGAAAGGGCCACCCTGTTTAAATAAAGTTTTTCCATTCCATTCCACTTCAGAGAAGAAAACTCCTAGCTGCTGATCCAGACAAGACAGATCCGGTCCCAACAACGTGCCAACAACACACTCAGAAAAAGTACGTAGAGGTTGCCAGTTTACTTGGCGTCGTACTAAATTACGGTTAAATGGCGTCGTACTTACACACTCGCATGAGGCTTTTTCTTGCTAAAGTCACACGCTAAGCCCAAATCTGATATCCTCACGTGACCATGCTCGTCCAGCAAAATGTTTGCAGGCTAAAAATGGATTAAGTGTTGGATTAATAATGACCCGTAAAAATAAAGACGAGCGATTCGTCTGATGGTTATAATATATACGACGGATACATCTGACCGATGATGCGTCTGACATATGATCGATACATCTGACGGATACACCTGACCGACGATGCGTCTGACATATGATCAATACATCTGACGGATACATCTGACCGATGATGCGTCTAACATATGATCGATACATCTGACGGATACATCTGACCGATGATGCGTCTGACATATGATCGATACATCTGACGGATACATCTGACAGAATATCTGACACATGATGTGTCGTGTCGGATATTCTGCGTGCAGTACAAATCAGGCTAATATCATGAATATCATCTTGACGTAGTGCCAATAATATATCAGCTATGCCATGCTTTGGAGGTGAACTGCAATTGATATCCAATGGAAAGTCGATGTCCAATGGCTTTGATGTTCCAGTGGACATCGAGTTTCCAGTGGGCATCAAATATGTCATGTTACGCGGCATATTTATGGGACATTAAGAAAGCTGCAGATATTGATACAACTACCCGAAAAATACAAGGAGAACTTCTCGAGACGAAGGGCCCTCACTCGAAACGTCGAAGTTCTCCTTCTATTTCTCAAGTACACACGTAAAAACGCACAAGTTGTAACAAAGCTACAGCAGACTTGTAGCAATGCTGTTCCAACAACTTGCCAACAGGATGTGTTTACACTGCTTGTTTCGAGCTTGTTGACAACTTGCTACAAGGTTGTTGAGCTCAACAGACTTGTTACAAGTTGTTCCAACAACTTGTTATCGTCCTGCAATTCGTCAATGTTGTCAACAAGTTGTGAGTGACAAGCTTGTTGCTACTTGATAAAATAACAGCATTGTTACAACTTGTTGACAAGCTTGCTACAAGTCTGTTGCGAACGCATCTTGTTGACAAGTTGTGAGTGACAACCTTGTAACAACTTGATAAAATAACAGCATTGTTACAACTTGTTGACAAGCTTGCTACAAGTCTGTTGTGAACACATCTTGTTGACAAGTTGTGAGGTTTTTACGTATGTAGTTGTATCCCCATCAGCACGACGATTTCTTATTATGAATATAAAGCCACAATAGTTTATCACAACTGTTTTTTCAGACCCTGAGTTTTATCACTCCTTGTAAAAATAAAGACACAATATCATTTCTAGCTCGAGTTTTACTCGATATTTTTCCCAGTGTGCATCATAATTGACGTACCTTCAAGTCTCTGTAACATATGCACTTGCTATGCATGTGTTGCAAACCAAGAACTATTTCACACGCATAAAACTGCACCTGTTGAAATAAACGCAAACATATATGACGCTTAAGCTTAAAGCTATGGGCAAGCTAACAAACATTGTTGCTGAAATATCGTTTCCTAGCCGTGTTTTCTGAAGGTGAACCAAACCAGGCAACAATATATCGTGGCCCTGTTTTCTGAAGGTATAGACTGCCCAGGAAACATTCTTTCCTAGCCAGATTTTCCTAAGATGGCTAATGGACCCTATTTATACCTAATGTAGTAATGACCAAAATTTTGATCTAGACAAGTCTAGACAAATATTTTATCACGGCTTGAAAGAGGATCACAAAATTAGTAATATTTCGAAGTTTCGTTGCGAAATGTTGTAAAATGCGGATAATATAGCCCTGCGAAGTTCAGTCATTTTGTACTACGTACGGGAAATTGATACCTTTCACAGAAAGCGGAATCAATTTTCCGTGCGTAATACAAAATGACTGAAAACGGCAAACATCGCAGTGCTATATTATCCACATTTTACATTTCGCAACGAAACGTCGAAATATTACTAATTTTGTGACGCTCTTTCAAGCTGTGGCGAAATGTTTGTCTAGACTTGTCTAGATCAAAATTTTGTTCATTAGGGAATAGGTCCATTAGACTAGGAAATACTGTTTCCTAGCCATGTTTCCCTGAGGGTGGGTAAACCTGGAAACATTGTTTCCAAGCCATATTATCGTGATATTCTTACTAACGCACAACGTTCACTGTATTTTACAAACCTCGTCTTCTTTGAAGACACCATGTTGTGACAAATGATAATGGAGATCCCCACCTGGAAAGACAAAAAAACTAATAGACAATTCCCATTATAGACTAATTTTAAAACTAGGCAAGGAGATGCAAATAAGTCACCACGGCTCGAAAGAACATACTAAAATGAGTAAAATTGCAAAGTTTGGTTGTGAAATGTTGTAAAATGCAGAAAATATAGCCTTGCAAAATTTGCAAATTTTGTATACTTTTGTATTGCGTGCGGAAATTGCTACCATTTTTGGCCCAAATGTGGTAGGAATTGCCAATTTCCGCACGCATATTTTTATATTTTCCGCAACCAAATATATCTTCCGCACTTTACAACATTTCGCAACCAAACTTTGCAATTTTACTCATTTTAGTATGCTCTTTCTGGGAATATACTTTTTTCCAAGACAAAAAATTAGTCTATAATAGGAATTGTCTATTACAGACTGGTGGAGTGGTGCAATATAAACCCGACGACTGACACCGGACTAATTCGGAACCGAACACAAATACGTACGGTTCACACAGGGATTCATTCATTCATCCATGCTCGAATTCACGTTTATGTTTCTTCTTACCATTCATGAGATCCAGAACAAAACACAATTTATCCGCCGTGTGAAAAGCGTAGGTCATACATACAATGAAGGGACTGTTCACCTGAACGAAAAGCAGTTAGAGAGTTGTAGGATTTAAATGAAGACTAGGAACGAGAGGAGGGAAGAAGAGGAACGCATCATTGGTGGGTTTCAGTAGAGGTGAGTTTCAATGATAGATCAAAGTGAAAATGTGAGATTTTTTGGTTGCTTAGGGTCTACACTTCGTAAGAAAGTTTTTCTGTGAAATTGAAACAGTGATAGCCAATTCATCTCTGTGTCAAGTACCCTTTAAGACAACTTGCATGTTAGACTAAATTTTAATCTAAGCATAGAAAAGGGAATCAAACACCACAGCTAAAAAGAACATACTGAAATTAGTAAAAGTGCAAAATTTGGCTGCGAAATGTTGTAAAGCTTGGAAAATATAGCCTTGTAAAGTTTGCATATTTTCAGTATATTTGTATTACGAATGGAAATTGTTACCATTTTCGGCTCAAAAATGGTAACAATTTCCGCACGTAATACAAATATACTGAAAATATGCAAACTTTGCAAGGCTATATTTTCCAAGCTTTACAACATTTCGCAACCAAATTTTGCAAGTTTACTAATTTTAATAAGTTCTTATAAACGGGAATTTACTTTTTTTTTGCCTAGATCGGTTAGATAAAAAATTTGTCTAACATGCAAGTTGTCTATTCATTAAGAGGAGATTTTTGTATGTTACGTAACACGCGCTCAAAACTAATTCGTATAATATTCCACTTGAGGTTATGACTAAATTCAAAATTTTTATTTTTCGATACGTTTCTCAATCGGAAAACAAACTGAAAAAAGTATATTTAGTGTTTTATCTGTAAATAATGCTAAAATGAAGAGATTTTAGATGATACGCCAAAGAAAAAATGATGTCTGAAGTTCAGTAAGTTTTGCTTATATGGCTGTAAATATGGCGTTACCAGAAGGGCCACTCAGCGGTGCAACGTGTCACCATTTTTCTATGCAAAAATGTGCAATTGACTGGCCAGAAGGCGGGGCCTCCAGCCAATACAGCGCGTTTATTGGCCAGAAAATGTAATCGACTGGCTAGGAAGATGGCGGCCAGGGTGGCCCTTCTGTGTGCCTTATTCTGTGGCTCAGTGACACCATCAACCATCTGTATACAAAATTCATTCTTACATGGGACAGCATTATCCTTTCATTCAAGGCAAGCGTCTCTCCTTGCTTTAGTTTGATACGTTTCTTGTCCAAACATTTCATTGCGTACCTATATTTGGAAGCATTTGCAAAACCATAATCAAGCATATTTATTTATGCAGCTTCAGGGCTGGAAAAAATTGACGAGCACGCAAGCACTGCTCGCAGGAAATGTTAAACAGCTGCAGGATATTTGTTTGAATGAAGATTTGGTATTGAAAATTTGAAGGAAACCTTAACACCCATATGTCCCACTATGGGCGCAACAACATATGGTTGGCAGACGTTATTCCTTGAATTTAAAACCATGGTCAGCTAGAGCACTATATGTTTATGCACATGCAGATTTAGCACAAAAATACTCCGTTGGTCTGCAGGAAATTTTTGTCTCCAGGTTGTGCTCCCAGGAAGAAAATTATTTTTTCTGCCCTGAATGATCGTTCTATCAGTTATAAACTGTTCTCATCCTAGAGGTCCAGTAAGGATCATCTCTCCAGTGTTACCACGGGAGAAAACCTAAACTAAACTAGATAGCTGCTTGTGTGATGTTACTCTGAGTGTATATTCACACCAGGCAGGCTTGAAAAATATGCCTGGCCACGGTGGGAATCGAACCTACGACCTCTGGAATACTAGCCCAATGCTCTGCCAACTGAGCTACGTGGTCAGGTCGGTTCGAGTATGCGATATTTCGGAACTGAGTCTACTTCCTTCGATATCAGTTTAATCTAATAATCATGATATTTGCTGTGTTGGTGTAATGTACTCAGGTGAATAAGATGCTTGTGTGATGTTACTCTGAGTGCGACCTGGCCGCGTAGCTCAGTTGGCAGAACATTGGGCTAGTATTCCAATGGTCGTAGGTTCGATTCCCACCGTGGCCAGGCATATTTTTCAAGCCTGATATACACTCAGAGTAACATCACACAAGCATCTTATTCACCTGAGTACATTACACCAAAACAGCAAATATCATAAATTAGGTAGCTCTGTCAGTTCTAAACTATCATTTCTGAACCGTCTAGAGGTCGAGTAACTGCCACCATTTATTGTACGTTCCAGTGTTATCACAGAGGAAAACCAGAGTTCCTCATGGAGAGGTGTTTGGTAGAATAAAGTTGGAAGCACTCTTCTCACATGTGACTGAAGTGAAACTATAATCAGACAACCAAACAATCACTTAATACCACCAGATCTACGCACATTTTCCCCGTATCAGCTTTCCTGCATCCATAAACCTCGCCAAAACCACCCCTGCCAATAATTCTGTGCACGCTGAAATCGTTCATCACAAGCTAAAATTTTTAAATAGAAAATAGTTTAATTAGCCCACTAATATCCAGCATTTTCCCCTTGAAAGTAAATTTTTCTGGTGCAGACAAATTAAAATAGAGCCAAATTGGTGGAGGCTATTCGAGAGGGGGGCTTATTGGAGATACGGTTTCCTCCCACAGGGCAAGTTGGTGGGGTGGGTTAGGATAAACACAATTAGGAAAGTAATATCTCAATTGTTGTAAAGATAAATAGTCTACACGGCCAAAAATGCACAGGTTGTTCCAAGTTGATATCGACAGGCATGAACAATGTTGTGCGGTCAACTATGAACAAGTTGTCAACCATGTTGTTCCAAGTTGTTACAGTTGAACAATGCTGTAACAACATGTTGACAATACTGTTCGTAGTGGGCCGCACAACCTTGTTTACACCTGTTGATATCAACCTGGAACAAGTTGTTGATTTTCTCAATTTTTACGTGTCGCGTAAAAACGCTCAGGTTGATGCAATATTTATGAAAACAGGATTGAACAATGTTTTGCTGCCCACATTGTTCACAGTTGTCAACAATATTGAACAATATTGTTACACCCCATTCAGGCTCAACAATATTGTTCAATATTGTTGAAAGTGTGAACAACGTGGGCAGCAAAACATTGTTCAATCCTGTTGAGCAGCGGGCTCTGCGTTTTTTTGCCGTGTAAGTAACATGAGCGTAATACTTGATGTAATCAGTCACTAAAAAGCCCCAATGGGGAGTGAGGTGAATAATAATGTAATATAATGGGAGTGGCACTATTAGAGATGGGGGCTTGTTGGAGATAGAGCTATCGTCTTATCGGAGATGGAAGTTATTTGGAGATGGGGAAAAGTTTATTGGAGAGAGGGATAAATAGAGAGATGGGGGGGGGGGCGCTTATGAATTTAGCTGCAATGCAGTAAGAAATGCAGGTTAACAAAACTCTTCGGGAAAATGAATACATTAGCCTTTCTCACGATGATGAATATCCGCCATTTTTGGGTGGCATCCAATTCTCGTTAACCAATGCAGACAATTAAAACAATGTGAAAAGTAATTTTTCAAAATAAACTAACCATTTACAAAGCAAATTTACCATCATTCGTCAAAAAAATTATAAGAAGTCACCGTTATGTGGACTTATCTTGTAGACTTCGGCTCAAATGCCACCCAAAAATGGCGGCATGAGAAAGGCTAATTAAAAGCAGCTCCCAGAGGCTTGGTAGAAAAGGGGTGCATAATATAGGATTGTACAGCAATAGCTTACAAACTTACATTTAGATTGAATTCCACATTTTTCCACTGTGTGTAGCGAATAAATCTGTCACTGAAGAGTAAAATATCATAAGTTCACTCGGTGGTCAAAAAGAAAATTGACACAACAACGCATCATGTAAAAATTGATGTTACCATGGATAATAAAATAAATGGATAGGACACTAGCTGACGTGACCTAATGTTTTCAATGGGATGATGGCGTGGTTGGATGTTGAAACCTGGTTGCAAACCAAATTCTCAAAAACGGCATGTTTAGCAATAATACAGCTAACATTTTAGTCAAAGAGCAAATAAATATAACTACGCCATTCTACGATGAAATCTCTAAGTATTTCCAGTCAATTTTAGCAAATATTTCAAGCACTAAACAGTGAAAAATGCATCCCAAATTTCGTTAAAATTGGTGACGCCAATTTCGTAGGTGCAAATGTAAAAAAATACAAAACAAAGACAAAAAAAAACATTTACCTTAAATATTTTGTCATGGCTTGGGCATGTTTTTAAAACAATTAGACCAGTTTATGCTTCAATATTACTCTTTTAAAGCGGAAATATAGCGAAACAACAAAAAAGCCAAGAACTTTGGCAATACGTGTGACGTCACAGATTTTAACTAGGTTTAGACTGCAACGTCAGCTAGAGTCCTACCAATTTATTTTATTATCCATGATGTTACCATTACCTCTTCAGAAACTTTTTAAATATTGAACCACAAAGACTATTTTTTATTTCGACTGTGTAAGGCTGAAAAGAAATAACGTAAATTAAACAATGATTAAAAACCGGTTTTCCAATACTGGAAATTTCTCATATCCCATTTCTAGGAACTACAAGCCTTGTACACCGGCTTACCTCAAAAAGGTTTGCTGGTGCTTGTCCTTTAGAAAGCAAGTTTTTTACATGCTCCAGTGAGTTCAGGCTGAAATTCTGTTGCAAAAAAAAAAACATTTCAATTTTTACATCAAAGGCATGGAGGGTTGATCTGGACTCATCTGGCAAAGGGGAAGGAATTCATCCTTTTGCATTTGAGGAGGATACCCTTGTAAAATGCAATGAGAGACACGAACAAATGCTGCCGTAAAAATCCTCATGTATCAAGGACATTTTGCTTTGTACAGTGGATGCCGCCTTTGGGAAGGAAGGGGGGTGGAGCTCATTGACACTGTAAGAGGGGTATGCCCCTCTCTCCTCCACAGAGGCTTTGAGTTGCTATTAAAATAAATGCACTAGACGGTGATGTTAGAGACTTATGCACTAGACGGTAATATGTAACGAGGAAACCGCTAAAATTCGGAGCACGGGCAAGGAGAGTGCCAGGGGGGGGGAGTGCATATCTCTCTAACATTACTATCTAGCACATACATTTTAATAGCAACTCAAAGCCTCTGTGGAGGAGAGAGGGTATGTCCCACGCAAAATCAATAATAGAAATCTTATAAAATGTCAAGCTACCAGATCTACCTTTGGATGAGTGTGTGTTGTGGGGGAATTAACAGAGGGATCCTATATTGGGGCAGATGATGTGGATCCAACAGAATTTGTGGCTGATGCATTGTGATATGCATATGCAGTAGGGAGGCTTCAACTCCCCCCCCCCCCATAGGGAAATTTTGACTTTGTAAGCTTCAATAATTTGAATCAAACTTACATGAGAACAAGAGAGCAGTTCTTTCATGATGAAATCATCAAAAATCTCCTTTGCTTTTGTCAACCTTTCTTCAACCGTCTGCAGCTTCATGTACTCTTTGATCTGAACAAATCAAAAGGATTTGTTGTCTCTTGGGGGCTGTTTATATGGAACCATAGGCTGGGCCGGGGAGCTGGGAGGGCATGTGCCCCCCAAAAATTTCTGCGGTCGGGCAAAAATCAATGCGACATTCAGGCAAAACATAAAAATTTCGGAAAAACATGATATGCAGTGAAAAAATTTTTGTATAGTTGCAAAAATTACGTGATGTTAGGGAAAATTTTTTTATGTCCGCCAAAATTTTCATATGTTTCCTGGCAAGTTTTTGGGTATGTCTGGAAAATTTGTTTTGGTATGTTCCGAAAATTTTTTTTTGGTCTGTCCCAACAAAATATTTTAGTGACCTCCCCCCCCCTTAAAATGTTAAGCTTGCTTCTTTGGGCAAAATATACTGTGCCTCCCCCCCAAATATGACTGGTCCCGTACGCCCATGTATGGAACCCAGTCTGTTCCATTTAGCATGGCAACTTGATCTCAAGACAACAGCAGTGAGGTCTTGCAGTCCAATTACTATTTTTATAGTAGAAATTACTTTATATTTTATTAATTTAGTATGGACATCAGTTGCCAAAATCTCACTTGAAGCAGGAAAGATCTTGGCAGCTAAGATGAACATTTCCCCATACAAAAACGCATTAATGGTCACGCTGACTCAGGAATCATTATAAAAAAATACAATGAGACACCACAAACTATTTTGTCAGAAACTGTCAAAATATCATCCTGGCAAGCTGAAAGAAATTTTCTCATGTAAATACAAGTAAAAATTCAAGTTGTTTACAAGGCTGCATTGTTAAACAGGCCAGACCGGCTCAGCTGTTGACTGCAAGCAGATTAGCTCAGGTTTAACAAAGGAAAAATATATAAATACATATATAAACACATCAAGAAAATAATATTGCAATATAGTCTGGGCTAAATATAACACAAGCAAGTGTATATAATAAATTATTATAATGATTTCAGTTGGCAACAGACAATTGGACAATATAACATAGCAACAATAACTAAGGAGATTTATTTAAACAAATTTAAAACGTTTGTGCCTTATTTCATAAAACATAACCAAAAATGTTTGCTGCATTCAAATTGAGTAGGGGAGTCAAAATATTTCAGTATTTTACAAATACAGTAGAGGCCCACCAAGGGGTTATGACTGACAGGCGACATTGCTTAAAGAGAGGTGACAGACTATCTAAAAAAGAGTGACAAACGACAGCTACTGACTGGGAAAAAGTGACAAATTGCGATTTGTGTTATGGATCAAAAGTGACAGCAACATTTATTACAATAAAACAAGCGACAAAGCAGCTCTACAAAATTAGTGACAAGCGACCTGGGTTACACCCTTGGTGGGCCTCACTATAGTACAATTTTTTTAGTTCAATAGATCAAAGGGCACTGGATTTTGCTGGCAGGACAGGCTTTAGCTAAGACAGACTTTCTTAACACATTTTAATAGTTTGTCAAGTTAATTTACATTTCAGAATTGTACAACCTAAATAACACTGGCAATATTAGACCTCTGTAAAGTCATTAGAGGCTTGGTTATTAAACTTTTTCCATGTCATTGGACATTGGAAACTAATCAGCACACTTCAGCATTTAATGTGTCAAGACCATTTCCTGAAACAGCATTCTGAATTTGGAATAGCAACTTTGATTGTTACATTATGTATAAAGTTTGTAAATCAAAGGTTTCGAATAATCAATATTTCAGGCCTGGCCTAAAAATTCTTTCTTTTTTTATACAGATTGTAAAAATATTGTAAATTTAGGCATATTTTTTCTTGCTCTGTTATTAAAAGCCTGAGAATTAATCAAGCCTAGCTATTCAATAAGAAGCTAGCTATTCAATAAGAAGCCATTAGTGCAGAATTATTAATTAATATGCAGAACATATGAAAAATATGTACAGGCTTTGAACAGCCGTTTAAAAACTGATCATTTTTAGCGATATTGGGCCAAGCCCAATTCATAATTTTGTCTGTGTAAAGTATATTTATAATTTATTTTTATTTTAGCCCCCCCCCCAAAAAAAAAAGGCAGTAATGTTAGTATATTAGTGTTTTCAAGTTGATATAAGACAGAGGCTATCTTTTAACGGTTGAAACGATGCAAGCAAACATTCTAATAACTATTGATTTGTTTGCAAAGGGACGGTTGGGTAGATAGGACATTGTCGAAACTACTTCATTTTCGCGCGTTTTGTAGACATACGATTGTAAACTGACCATATGCCTGAATTTTGACGGGCTGTAGCTAAGGGCTCAAAGAAGCAAAAAAAAAAAACGAAAGGCAATTACATCAAAACTGATTATTATTGAAATGAGCTATTGCCGGCAAAAGGCATGCGAGATTACATTCGGTTTTCACAGAGCTCGCGTTCACAAGTGCCTTTTGTCGCATATTTTGATTTTCTAGTATTCTCGAGAGCAAGCAAATTATTGATGGTCGAACTAAGAGTATTCTCGGGCTGGTCCATCATTTATAAATACAAGAACAGATAAACTAAATTTCAAACTCTGAGAACACTTCCTGTCCCAACCTAGCTTAAAAGTCACGTAGCGAGCAAAATGTAAACAGTGTTTTGGCGACACGGACAAACGGTTTTATAAAACGCACTTTAGTTTATAACACCCACCCGTCTTTCAGTATACAGTATAATTGTGACATAGAATGTAACAAATTAGTTTTCGAACATTTTTGCTTTATATTTTTTTCCTGAATACTGTATCCGATGAAAACGCCCGGGAAGTGAAAATATGGACGATATAAAGATGGAACGATGATACGAGTGATTTTAAGTACAAATTACAACGTCTGCTTCCTGTGAACCAATTCAGGAGCTAGAGAATCTATTCACGGTTTCATATCTACTCTGACACTGTGTACGATTTTAGTATAATCGGTTCCGTATATAAAGCAATGTTTAAAGATGAGATAAAACAGGGCAAGAATATTTAATAACAAGCTTTACAGTGTCAATTTGCGTTGACAAGGCGGTAGCCCAATGTTGATGTCTACGACATGATCGCCTCGATGCTGTGAGCAAGACAATGAAAGTTTACGGGCCATCGTTTTACAATAGATCGCTCGCAAAGTGCTCTTACCGCTTCGTAAAATGCAAGTTGCGGCACGGGCTCATCACATTGAGTTTCACCGAACTCTTTAAACAACAGATAACCTAAATGAGAAATATAACACGGGTCAATAGCGAAATAAATCCTGTTAAAGAAGGGCTAGTAGGGCAGCCATATTATAATAGCAGCTGTTTCGTATAACTAGACAAATGAAAGGCCGTCTAAGGTGCTATAAACAACGAAAGGCAATGAGACATTGTGTACATTATCAGACACCGGTATATTACTAAGATATACAATACATTTTCACAACTATACCCGCAAATGTACAAGAGACTTACCTATGGTTTGTTCGAATATATACTCAAACTCTAACTGAGAATTGTCGTCAAAGTACTTGTGCATAACGTGGTATACTCTAAAACAAAATTCGATTATTAATTTTGCAACAAGACACAGCATATAAAACTGGTAAATCGATTGAGCTATGAGCACAGAAAAGCAAACGATATCTCGACTTACGAAGGGTCAGGCAACACGATTTTCTTACTGGCTCTTGCCGCCGGAGTGGACTTCGATTTCTCCATGGCCATCAAGTAAGAAACATCAGCTAAAACCGCTTCCAAGTCCGCCATTTTGGCGACTTTGGTTTTCAAACTGCAGCTAGATTGTGTTTGTATAATGGCGTCGAGAACTGGCTTCCGATTAGCATGAACAGCTGTCACGTGACGCGGAGTATATAATTTTCAGGAAAGACGTTTTTGCTACATTTTTTGCGCGATTTCTGAGAATTTAGGTTTTTTGTTGAAATTGTGACTAAATATTATACAGTTTATATTTAATAAACCAAGCGTGTGTAGTATTTGTAACTCAAGCCTTCTTGTGATAGACTTTGCGGGCAGTTTATACACATGGGAAATTTGTGACCCATCTCACCCATCTAATTCAGTCAGTGTGTTCTTTATTGAATGTTGACGTGTTTTTGAGATAGAAATTTCCAGTGTAAATTTTATACATTTTTAGCAAGTACAGGGCCTCTGGCGTGAATTGAAGCTGCGATTCTGGTGCAGCTTATTCAATTCATGCTAGCGAGACTGAAAAGTTTTACTTTGCGCAGGAAATATTTTTTTCCTTGGGAGAAATGCGCCGAAATGTTGGACATTTCAAAAAAATATTATGGCAAACACGAGACTTTTGCAGTCAGAAATCGTTTTTTGTCAAAAAGGGTCAGAAATCTGCTTGGTACACAAATGCATTTTGTGCTATTTCTCAGAAATTATTTGCAGTTTTTTAAATTCGAGGAATTTTGCGCAGATTTTGATAATTGCAAGAATCTTTGCGCAGGAAATTAACTTTCTCCAAAGCTTTACAGTCTGGGTACGAGGTGCGTAACTGACAATCAAACATTTCTATTGGCGACTTGTCTGGCCCAATCTATGACTGACTAACATATTGTTATGGAAACACATAAGAACGAATCGGACATGGACTTTACGTTATTTGAGGTAGCCAATCACATACCATGGTTTCAGAGGATCTTCGAAAAGGTTCGTGTCGCCGTTCTTTAACAGCATCGTAGGTACTAGACGGCACAAAACGTTGGTAATGGAAGGTACCCAATGCAATGCATACACAGAACACGTACAACAACTTTAAAATTTAATAATTTCAATATTTGAACAAAAATAAACTCTAACCAAGCTATAAGGCGTTCGAGAGCGAACAATAGGTTAATTTTCTCAGCGTGGTTCTACAGGATTCAACGATAGAACGGGAATTATGCAAATTAAGTTAGTGAACTGCAAAATTTCTATATCACGAATGTTTATATGGAGCAATGTTCGAACACCACGTAAAACCACGCCTCGAAAATATTTTATAAAACATCTATCTTCTGTACAAAACTTTAAACATGGGTTTCTTCTGAAAATATTAAACGATCGCTCTCTCACAACAATCACACACTCACGCGATCCTTTGCAGGCTGTTTTACACGATAGTAAAAGTAGGAAGGTTTGCATATGATCGCAACGGTCGCTATAATTTCTAAATTGGGTAAGATCTTCACTCTATTTCACAACCGTTACGATCAATAGGAATTCAGGCTTCAAACACTCCAATTGGGGTAAAAATGTGTGTACACCATTGAACTCAAATAACGAGTGGACTGCAAGAAAATCTCTTACTCATGAACGAAATGTTTGAATCTTTATTTCTTACAGTCGTGGCAATAACATTCCAACTTCGATTCCTAATTTCGAGAAATTCATTTGATCAGTAATACCTCAAGAATTTGAGAAGTTAGAATAGGAAAAACCCGCTGTTCCTCCAAACAGGTTGCCAGCTTGGAATATATACTGCATATTTTGTAACAATTTCGTACCAAAATACTTTCGAAGCTTATCAGTCTGATCTCTTTGTCACGTGCCGGCCTTTGCAAAGACTACAATCCAATCTTATTTGGAGGGTCCTGAAGGGGTAAAATGAGAACTGGGATTTGCTTATTTTTGGGTGGGAAAATGAGATTTCATGCACTGGGACTGGGATTCATCAGCAAAAAAACAATAGAAAATGGGAATGGGATTAAGATTTGAGCAGAACAGCCACCGAGATGATGGGATTTGTGCTCTGGGACAATGGTATTTAGGGAAATGGGAATTCGACCCCCCTTCAGGACCTATTTGGGTTCAATGGAATACTATGAACGCACATTTTCCGTTACGGAAATTCTCCTCAAGAAAATGACCCCCTGACCAACCATACTGAACTCAACCTCCTATGCTTTTACGACGAGTGGACATCAGACAAGACCGTCCGCCAGGCCCACACCTCGTGGAACCGCAAGTAAGTTCTCCAAACTCAGAGACTTTTGTCATTCTTCAAACGTGCATGACTGAACATAACAAAACAAATATATCAAAATATATCTTCTTCATCACACTTCTTCGCTCGCCTTATGTCTCTCTTTCACGTGAGCTTCTTCTCTCACAAGTAGTACAGTCTGTCAGCCAGGCTAATGTCAGGTTCATCGTGAATTGAGGTCCCAACCAGGTAAGCCAACTTGTGCGCATACTGGCATGGTGCTGGAACGCGGATGGTACCCTACAAAAAAGATCACGATGGTTACTCTTTTCCGCTATTGTACCACCACAGACTTCACAGTATTGTGACTTCTGGGCTTCGTCTTTACGTTGGCCATCATATATTTTAAACTTTCCTAACAAAACAAACTTTCCTAACAAAACAAAGTGATAACTTACCGGCCAGTTGTAATACAAGTGCGTAAGCTTGTATGTCAGTCGTTGCATGTGATCAGGTTTCAGACCAGTAGTGTCATGAATCACATTGTAATGGGTAGGCGTCACAGTTCCCTGTCGAACCGACTGACTCACCAGGAAGAAATCATACCACTCCTTGCGGGTGACATGTTGATCAACCACAGAACCTATGGTATGGCGGAAGTATGGTTTATATAGGTATAAATAACGCTAAAAACGGTATCAATTCATGCTGGTGAAGTACTAGTGTGCAGTAAATGGTGGTCAATCAACTGCTATCAAATTACCAGTAAAGGTTACCATACTAAATGTACCAAGTAGGGCATGAAACTTGCAGTATCCTGACATCCACAGGATACAAGATTTTAAATTTGGATACTGGACATCACAAGCTCAGTATCCATTGGGATACTAAACACATTTCTGTTCTCCACAGATACAGTATTTTTCTGTTATTTATGAACATATGTTAGATTCATTATATCAAATTCATTACAATTGAAAACTTATTTTGCATTGTTGCATTGTTGCATTGTTTCAATGTTACTACTATCCAAATGTGAGATACTAGATTTTTGTGGTGGATACCAGATTTTCTTGTACCCTACTCCTGCTGGATAGTGCTGAAAATTTCAAATTTTAAGCACTGCATAAGGATAAAGGCCTGATACTCAAGAGTTAGTGCTTACTCCTGGATATTAGAATGACAATTATTAACCTGGAGGTGGGTTCTGCAAGCGACCATTCTTCAAGAAGAAGCGAGAGTTGATTCTCTTCTTCACCACTATGAAGGCAAACTTGGGGCGTTCTTGGAAACCAACAGTTCTGAAACATTCCATGAATTGTTTCACCTCGTGCTCAAACACTGCCGCCAATTGACCATCACCAACACCATCTCGGAATACTATGATTCTGTCAGGCAGTGTCTTGTTGATCTCATTGTATTTGCGGAGCGCACCTGAAAGTGAAATGTATGCTCAAAACTACACAAATTTACACTAAATTTATATGCATCTGAATGGAGGTCAAGAAAAGTTTTTGTCTTGTGTATAAACGTGGCCAAAAGATGGATCATCTGTCAAAAATATCTATTTATCTACACAAATCTTGAAAGATGATAGAGTCATGCATTGATGCAATGCATTGCATTCTATCAGGAAGTGTGATGCTGACATTCTGATATTTACAAAGCACAACTAGAATAACATATATTCTCAAAATAGCCCCAAAACATAAACAATAATCCATTTCCTACCTGTAACACACACTTTGATCCCATCAACCAATTCTTGACCAGTATGCTGCGAAGTGCAACGTGAGTAGTATCTGAAATTATTTAGAGTGAGTATTAACCCATTGAGTGCAACACTCTCCCCTTGATAAGTAAAATCATATGGTGTTAGACAGAGCAAATTGTCTGGCATTAGACAGAGTAAAATAATAAAGTAGGGGGACATTAGGGTGCAATGCAGAGAGTAATGGGTAAACTAGACACATGGGCAGATAGTCTGGTTAACCCATTGAGCGCCAGCGCTCTCCCCTTGACAAACGAAATTGTCTGGCATTAGACAGAGTAAAATAATAAAGTAGAGTGCCATGAAACTTAATGGTGGACTTCTAGACAGAGCTAGACCTAGTATAAAGTTGCACCTACTTGGTCAATGTTTGGTTTGTGCTTGCAACAAAACCACTGATGGACTTTCCCTTGCTCACAGAATCATGGTAACAATCAATACCGATCACCATCAGGTTCTTCAAAGGAATGTCGACCGCCCAAACTTCACCACCCAACTTGCAGTTCAACTGAATACCAATCTTGGTACACACAGACATCAACATCTGTTTCTTGGACAGGGTCCTTGCAACAATCACCTGTGATGAAACTAAAACCCAACAAGTCATCAGGCACAAAGTGTAAATATATGAACAATGTCTTTTTGCAAAACACTAAGCATAATAGTACCATCCAGTCACAATTCAGTGATTGAAACATTGCATTGTTTTTTCATTGCTTCATGCTATAGTCTATTCTCAAATCTGAGTTGACATCATCAATTTTTCATCTCACTATCTACAGACCTTTGCCAAAAATGGACCTCAGAATTGAAATCTTCCCGAATTAGTTCATGCCGAAAAGTTCACAATGTTTGGACATTCAGGGCATGTGTTACAGCATTTTGAAAATTTTGTTTCCCCATACGTTTTTTCTGCATGGAGCGGAATTTTTTTTGCCATGTGATTTCCTGGGTGGAACCATAGACGGATTTTCATATTTATTACTGGGGTGGTGCCAGAAATTTTAGGGGGGTGAGCCGTGAGCAACGCAAAGTGTCACCAAACCCCAGTAAGGTCTATATTCTAGGGGTGGAGCACTAGAGCCGCGAGGGGGAGTCTAGAGAGCAGAAAACAAAG